TGAAATTAGATTCTAATGGCAAACGAAATAAGAATAGCAAACCCAAAGATGCACATCAAAATGTCATATGCTATCGTTGTCATATTTTTCCTTAATAAATATATTTATTAATCTTTCATAATAAAGATAAAAATTGATATTTTAATATGATACAGGAAGAGGGGTTCAAACAGAATTATATGAACATCAAAACTCAGGAAACATAATAAGCTTCCTGCATCTTAACAATTTCATCACATCTCATAAAGAATCATATTTATATAAAATAGTTTCAAGATTAGATTATTTTGATGACTCCATGATGAGTTTCTTTTAAATGAAACTATAGTTTTGGATATACAATTCGTGTTTATTTTATATTTTATCTGACGTTTTAAATTCTGAAACATATTCCTTGGCCTTTATACTAATACTCCTTTTTGTTTATCCCATGTATGAAAAATAACAAGACTTACAGGCAAACTTATTTTGTTCGCCTGTGGTCATGGTTGCTATAAATTAACCAAAACGTCGAGTAATAATAAAATATATATAATAATAAATAATAGTAGTATATCTGAGAATAGGTTTTTATTTAAATGTAGACTAGTAAAAATCTTAAGTGTAATTAGTAACGCTTAAAAATAAAATAATTATTATAATAATTATTATCGTTTGACGAAGATAACAAACATTGAGTCATCCAAATATTATTTATAAAATCATTAAATTTAAAAGAGGATTTAAATGAAACTAATATTTTTCAGATATACCGCGTAGTGTATCCGAAAAATATTACATAGTTTCATTTAAATGAATAACTCTCGAAAGTACATACATCTCATTACGAAAAGATTTCATATAACTAATAAAATTATAAGCATGTTCAATAAAATGAAGCTATATTAAGTAATAAGTCAATAAGCCATGGGACGGTAAATAAGCAATACCATCTAAAGCGATTGAAATGTTTGTCACATGATTAGGACGAAATGTAGTGTGGAGTGAAATGGGACGATCTCGTCCGGTACGAACGTGGAGCATTCGTCCGGAAAAATGTGACTTAGACGATCGTATACGGATGGTTACCGTATTAAAGTAACATCATATTTGATCTCAGATTGGAATTTATTGATAAAAAGATTGATTTTTGTTCATTCCATCATATGATTTCGTTTCTTTAGTTTACTTGTTATTTTAGATTTAATGTTATTGAATCTTTTGCATTTCATAATTGAGTTTTTTTGTTATGTAAGTATGAGTGAATAAAATACTCACCTAATTGAGTTTTTTCTTTATAAGTTTTTGTACGTGTTATAAAGCTTTAAACTATACTTAGACCTACTAGTAATTGCAATCATAAAGAAAAAGATCAAATTATACCTTAAACTTGCCATTTCTAGTTACAAAACATCAAAACGATTGTGAAAGGTTGGTAATAACATAAATTAGTTAGTTTAAGGTGTCGTACAGAACGTTATTTACAACTGAACAGTTATACGGAGGCGCCCCGAGGGACGTGGAAATATTATTTAAGTATAAACAATTACTGGCTTCAAACTAGGCTTCGTTTAAGATTGGACTCATTGATAGCGAAACGATAACTATATATTACTTGAAGGTTTAAAAGAATAACATTCCGTTTTATTGAACTAACGTGAATATATAAAAATATATGGGGTGTGTTTTTAAAGCCCTGGTTAGCTTTATTAAAACAAAAAAAACTGTCTTTAAACTGTAACACACAATTGGCATTAATCTACATAACTCAACTGTACAGCTGTCATTAACCAGTACATAGCAGCCAGTGGTGGTTCTAGACGAGTTATTGCCTATTCATAAGTCAAGAACCAGACCCACATTGAGTCCAAGTATACTTTATAACCTTTAGTATAACGTAATAGAGTCGAAAATCAAACAATATATCGATATCAATCTGATCACAGGATTTGGTAATGCAAAGGTAAGCGCAAATTTGATTTGCACTTGGATTTCAGATAATCGATGAATTATAATATCTATACTAATGTAATAAAGTCCTTTAGGAGTTTCTTAACAGCAATAGAACTTGTCAAATATTATTCGTTTAATGCGCGCGAGTGCGAAGACGTCGGTTAGGCATGTCATTACAAACAGTTTGAGTTTGTTCACTTGGAAGAATTCAAAAGTTTGTTTATATGCAGATTAGTTGTGGTACTAATTAGACGATAGATATTCAGTTGCTTTCCATACAATCATACATTATAGTGAGTTGCGATGTTCGTATGTTTGTCTGTGAAATACGAATAACAATACTTAATTATTAAATTTTAAGTAGCGCCTTGGTTATATATAATGCAACAATAAAAGTATATTTCACATAAATTCAATATCATTGATGAGAATTAGACTTAAACATTCGTAATTATGTTTTCTATGTCAAAAGATATCTATAAATTATGATTATCTTAAAAGAACAATTCCAACATAAAACTCAAAATTTGTTCAACTGAAGGTATTAGGCAATTCTAGTCTTGTTGGAATAACATTGTCATTAAAATAACATACAGTAACGAATAATTGATTAATTGTAAAGCAAATCAGAGCAGTGACATAACAGTGATAAAGCGATGTAATAACAAACAAAATATCTAGTAATGTCCACAGAATTTAGGAATATGCAAATCAAGTGCAAATCCCACCGATAAAGATTATGGCAGAAACAGATGTGGCTTTGTTTTGTGGTCTGTATGGAAATTTGGAAATCAGTATTGGCAAATAATATACATTATACATATAACAATTTTGTTATCAGGATACCGTTTTATCATTATACTTCTAGTAAAACTATCTTTAGCTTGTGTGTTATTTCTAATAACAAAATAAATACGTCCTTTCAGTTCGACCCAAGTTTCTCCTATGTTATTTCATTTAAGACATGAAGACATTTAGTAGTACAAATTCAATTCAATAGTGTTGATCCTCACAATGCACCATATGTATTCGCACCTGTCTGGTTACTATTTTAACTAGCCGCAGCCCGCAGCGATACTTCTGTCTCGTTACCATAAGATAGAGCTGTGGTGTCGCATGCATTATTCATATGTACGGACCGACAGTGTGTCGTATCTTTACTTTAAATTAGACAGGGACAGTAGAAAATAAAGAAACGTATACATTTTGCATATAAATCTAAGTAAATAAACCAAAGCAAATAATAATTATCAAGTTGTTAAAGTGTTCCTTTGATAACATTTTACATTTCGTAAAACGTTGACACCTCTACAGTATTCGACTCACTTTACACTGCCTGTCGTCGGTTTTAATTAATATTTCTGCTCACAGAATATCTGCATTCTGAGTTTCAAATATAATATTCAAAGGGAAATACTATGCTAATGGAGTGGCTTTTGAGATAGGTTGGAGTACAACTAACTCATAAATAATCATTTCTTTAAAAATGCTACTCCTGCTTTTAATTTTATTGCCAGCAACACAGCTGTTGGTTGATTTTAAGATCGTATGTATTAGGTATGTTTGCTAAAATGACTATAATACGTAATCATATACATATGTTAACGCTTCATGCTACAACCTTTTGTTTATATTAAATGGCGGCACTTGTCACCGTCACGTACGAAATGTTCCCAAATGTAAACCGATTCCTCCTGTGATCGGAATCTGTAATAGAGCGGTCATTCCGAATTCATGGTTCAATAAAAACAAACTGACAATATTATCTGTGTATGTGCTTTTATTGACGCTTACGAAATTTAATTCGGAAAATGAGTTATAAAATAAACGAGTTTAGGTTTAAAATCCTGTGACGGCGATAGTGTCATTCAAACTGCGATTAGTTAAAACCTTTGAGCAAACAGTTAATATCGCCGACCCCGCGTTGGAGGGATCAGTCAAATATGAAACTGATTCTAAAGAAATATATTGCGTGCTAACCGTCGGATTACATCTGCGCAAACAAGAATTATCATACACCGACGTTATATTTAAATATCAGTCTCAGTGTACGATGCTTTTACCATAACAAATTATACATGCCTTTATATTGATTTATAAATAGTGCACTAAGACTATTAAGAATTATAAATGTATTAGAGTGACTTTTATAAACTACACGAAAAATATGTTTTAATTTAATTATATTATCTCTGAAGCGAGATTGTTATCGTCAAACATTTGTCAAACATATTGGTATATGTGAATGTGTTTACACAGCCCGTTAAGTGGACACTGAAAATGGTTTGATTCAACTCTCAGTGCATTAATTCAACATAAGACCACGTGTGGATCAAACCACCACCCAGCACTCATGGTTGTGAATTTCAAAGCGGGGAACATCGTCTATATACATTCAAACTGGACTCATCTGGAAGCACTTCATAAATTTCAAACCAGTAGTGAAAACTGCGGCATGGGAATTACTTAGACAAATAATGCTTGAGAAATCCTTTCCCTTCATACCAGTAATAACTAATTTTCAACTCACACCAATAATTTCACAAGATTTTAAAAAGATATGTTTTGTTATAGATAAAATTTAAAAAAAAAACAACTTCATATCCAAGCCAAGACTGTCCTTTCCATTTATTTACAATTATGTTATTGACATGATTAATAAGCAAAAATATTTAATACTAGTTGCTTCTAGAATATAAGCAAATACTCTTGAAATTTTAATGAAACGAAAAATTATTTCTATATAAACAGAATACATTGGAACGACTTTTACAACTCCACCTTTAATGAGTTCTCTGCCAATTTTCCACTCGAACGAAGGGAATGATCCCTATCAGTACGAAGAAATTAATACAGCTTCCAATTATCTCTTAAAGATACTAATTTAAATGTAAAATAGCTTTAAACTTTTTGTTGAACTATTTTGTATATAAAAATAGACGGATATTTTATTAGAGACGTATATTTTTTCACTGATTTCATAAAACATGTTCAAAATAAATTAACATTTTAATTCAAAGATCGTATACAAATGAAAAAAATAACATTGACTAAATATCCTATAAAATTTATGCGTTGCTTAATCCACAACTTGGATCTTTCCAAGCCCAAAAATTGATTTTCTCGATCATGTTACAGCTACACATCTCATTCCTGAAAGTACAATTAACATTTAATACATTTCTACTTTCTGAAAATAAAGCATTATTCAAAAAATAAAAAAAATCTACGGAAAAGTTATATTGTAATGTTTTTAACTACATTATTTATTCCATCAAATTCTGTCGTCAAATATCTCTGATTTAACGTTTGTAAATAAATATACGAATCATGATCATACCCAGGTCCTGGCATAGAGAAAGCATGAGGCTGTATATGAGTCACTCCATCTCCAACCAAACAGAGCATTTGCGCTACAGACGCCTTTCTAATCTGTAAGAGCTGATCTGAAATATTGAAATATTTATTACTATAATGCGTCGACTTTGCAATGCACTATAATTATATCTTCTAAACCTACTTCTGGTGAACGCGTTCGGTCTATTCGGTCTCTCGTACCAATGTCTATCAGACATCATCGTCCTCATCATCTGTTCTACGACCACACAGTACAGTGTGGGAGGAACATGACCTCCTTTAACATACCTCTCTGAATACATTCCAGCCATTAAATCTATATCTTCCACATGTTCGTATACTTCCCTTAGAATCTCTATCCTCTGGAAATCATTAATTTATTTTATTAAAACAAATATGAAATACTGTTGTTTTTCTTGCAGACACAAAAAATGTTATTGTGGTAATAATATAAAAAACAAGGTCACTGTTTAAAGTTAAAACAACAGGGTGTATTAACCGTTCCGCTTATTATTACGAGTACGATGTTTATCTATACTTCATATTTTTTTACAATTAACATATATCCTTGAGAAATGTCAGTGAAGGTAAATAATAATTAATACTTGTGTATTTATTAACTTTTTATTTACTTACATCTGAATCCATGATTTCTATTAAATCATCAAAACTCCGGTACTCAACTCCCGAACATAGTTTTCTGTACTTAATATACGGTGCCAATCCAAAGTAACGATTCTTACATACATCACTTGTTGGTATATCGGATGCTCTCTGATGAGGTCCAAGACCCTTTTCTGAAATCTGTGATAAATAAATTTATATTATTAAATCATAAATTAGTCACTTCCTTAAACCACTACCATATCGTATATCAAAAAACCCAGTCTTAATTATACCAATCAAGGATATTACCAATCGTGTAATTTGATATTACTTATACCTAGGAATTCGTGGAATTTCAAAAGAAAAGAAATAAATAATAAAATACGTGTATTACTACGAAAATAAATATTCACGAAAGTCTTAGATCTAATTACTTTTTAGATATAAAAAGTAGACTTCTTTTTGATGTTATGTAAATACAGTGGCTTCTGTATTCTTTTCTGTATAATATCTACTAGTGTATACTCACGTCTGGATCTACAATTCCATCATTCTTAGCAGCCGGCTGTCTGTACGCACCGTGTGTGATGAATTCTAAATTTTCTACTAAATATCCCGTTCTTAATGTTAAATCGACGATCCTTGTCTCGTTCAAATAATTTCCTTTAGCGTCGTACATTCTTAAATAATAATATACTTTCATTATACTTATAATGAGTAAATTTAAATTTATAAAATACGGTGCACATAGACCACAAATAGTTAAAAGAAAATGAGTTTCGTATTGTGCTTTCAAAGTCAATATTGAATTATTTGTTATAATGAATATAAATCTGACTTACTTTAGTACTCCCTCTGTTATAGTGTGAGCCCATCTAAGTACCATAGGATATTCTATGGAAATCTGCGGTAGGAGATCCTCTTTGTAAAGATCTCTAAATTCTTTGAAAGGTGAAAGAACTCCGTCTCGAAGAAGATTTTCGTAACCTTAAACACACACATACTCATTTTTTATTAACGTTAATTTGAAATTATAATTATCTAATTAGAATATTAACACCAAACACATCTTGATTTATGAATACAATGTAATTTTATTATTATGGAAAAATACTTTACGGTAAATACATTTTCTAGAATTGTTTGCATTAAACAGTATTAAGATCATACATACATTCAAAAAATATGACATTACTCTATGCCTTTGTTGTTTATTTGGCACTTAGAGGTCAAAATCAAAGCATTTAAAGAAATCAAAGCAATATCACATTTTTAACCAAGTCTAAAATATTATCATTAAGAATATTCTAGCCTTTAAAAATTAATTTCAATATTCTTTTAAAACTTATCTCTTAACTTGATTTAAAATCGAATGGACTCGGAGACATAAGATAGTTCCAATAAATATTGGCAATATTAAATTCATGCGAAACATAAATATTTCTAGGAAATTTTAAATATCAGGAAGCAAATTCATATAATTCTGTGAAGGAATTTTGCAATAAACAATTTATATATTATGTAGTATGTACCCAAGTAACTAGTAATTAATATATTTAAAAACAAGACTCAATAAAATTACCAATAAAATTTAATAAAATTGCAGTAAAACTTACCTAACAGGGTCGGCGATAATTCATAATAGAACATCTGCATGTAATAAGCAATGACGATGTCTCTGGCTGTGAAGAAGAGTCTATCATCGGACCAGCAAGGATTGATTCTTGACAGTTCCGATGCAACGTAATTGTGAAAACGCCAAGTCCAGATGACAAAAAGATTAAGACCCAATACACTGTTGGAGCCCGATTCAGCTGCAATCGATATATATAATGATGGACGGAAAAAAGATAACATCGGATATAAATTGTATTTTATATAACTTACGAGTATCATGACAACGTGTTTCCTTCGGTTTTTGATTAAGAAGACATAGATCGACCGGAGTCTTTGTGCTTGGAGGCCATAACATATTATTCTCAACTTCAAACTTGAGCATACCATTTTTAAAACTTCTGTGTTTTTGATTTAATAATTTTAAAGAGAGACCATACACGTGAGATAAATCGTATGCAGGACTGGCTGTTATTATCTAGAAGAAAAGAAATCAATAGTGTTACTTGTATGTTATAACACAAATTTTTAAATTGTGTACGTATTGTATATTCATAGTTACTCTTTCTGGGGTAGTGTCATTTCTATAGCATCCTGTAGATTGGAAACTCCAAGGTCTTGTCAAGTTCATACAGCGGATAGAAGAGAAGCGATGAACAGGATCATCTTCAGGAATTATGTTTGGAATGCAACCCTTGTCTGTCTTCCCTCTCTCTTGACAGCAATATGGTTTCCATAATATATAGTTCACTACAAATGTTTTTAATCCTTTAATAAGCAAATATGACATCGAAATATTTATTAAAAAGACAATATTGTTACCTGTATCATGCAATGATAATACGTCCGACGAAACAAATACCCAGAAATGCAACAATAGCTGTGTCAATTCGGTGTCAGGGACTCTCCCCTCAGCTAACATGGACGTACGGACTTTCCTACATAGCGGCAGAGGTTTACCACTCTTGGATTTTCTTGGCTCAAAATCTAAAACAAAATCCCTTTTATATTCGCTACTAAATATATCATTCACTTGTTTATAACTCGCATATATGTGTACATTGTAAAAACGTATTGATTAATTGTTCTAATAAAATAATAAAAACTGATTTTGTCTCGTTCTGATAAATAATATTTGATTTTTGAATCTTTTAAATTATCATAAGTTTTTTTTTTTATAACAAATAAAGTGAGAAATTGACACTATTTAAAACTGACATTTCATGAAAGTATACGAATTACTTTAGTCTCTACAAAATGCTAGTTAGTAGTTACTCTAAAAATAGTTACATGAAGTGTGTCATTACAATCAACTATACTTTACCCTGATCATAATGGGCTGGTAGCAGTCTATATGTTGGGGTGTGTGAGGCTCCTCTGTTGGGGTACTTTAGGTTGTTACATGTTCCATCCAGTCGTCTCGTCTCTTGTGGGTTACATGGTATCACTTCACTGACACACCATCTATTTTTCAAATAATAATTTATCATTAGAACGACGATGTCTGTCTTCATACAATATATACTTAAGTTTAGCATTGCTTAAAGTGAAAATATCATCGCACATTTCATGTTATTATGAAAACTTTGTAAACTAAACAAAATAAAATTTATTTCGACTTAGTATGTTAAAAACTTTTAAACCAAAAAAATATGATGAAATTTAAGAAATTGTTTCTTATTTTCAAAATATATTAACGTATAATAACTTACTCTGAGCTATTTCTTTTAACGTGACCCTTGACTTCGTCTAACGACAAAACATATCCGGTGTAAGTATCGTAATAAGTAGGTTCAAGGCACGAATACAAACTAAATCCAACGAGTGAAATAATCAAAAAACTTCTAAAACAAACTTCCATATTAATATATCTGCGTGGAAGGCTAAAACGAGACTAAATTATTTTTCATTCATTGTTTTCATTTAAACCGTTCTGATTATTCTGAACTTCAACCGGTTATATTTTATTTGCGAGTTTATTGACGAAACACATTTATAACTGTTCACACTTGTTTTAAAACACGAACTAACTTCAATAATAATAAGTGACTGACTTTAAATTAATATTTATACTATGATTTTTTTTGTTTGTTATGACTAAGAAGGAAATAACATTGGGTTTATATGCACGAATGCTTTTCTTAAATTATTAATAAAAATGTGGAATTATTTTTTTAATATCATTCTAGTAGAATACCTACTATGACTAACAACGAAAAACGAAATAAAACTTTACAAAGTGACTTTGTGTCTAGAACAATGAATTGAATATAACCGTTTATGTGAGTAACAAATTCGTCGCTTTTTTTTAAAACAGTGGCAATAAAAGAGTATATTATTATTTAGATATGTTTAAGGTTTATTTAAAGAATGGCTACAAATGCATAATATATAAAAAAATACGTGAAAAATATAAAAAAAAACTTTAATACAAATTTTGATGACTGGCTAAAGAGTATTAACAAGTTTTTATATAAAACAAGGTAAATTTCGCCGACTGCTCAAGCCAAACTAAATAAAATATGTATAATCATTACTTTTATCATTTAAATTCGATTAAGGAGACACAATCAATTAGTTAAACTAGTTTTGGAACATTTTAGAGGTTAACAACCTCATATAAAATATTAAAACTTGCTAAGTCGTTTTATTAGCTGGTTGTTGTGTGAGACTTTCTTTGCTAAAAAAAATTTCGATACGCTCTGGTGAATGATATAAACATTTCAAAGAATTTGTTGTACATTTCTTAATACGTCAATCTAAGTACCTTTATATAATTAGATCTTTTGTAGTAGGTATATACGACCATTGTCTGGAATGAGCGTATCAAGTATTTAAGCTTTACGTAGACTAGGTAAATGCTAGACTTGCCTTCTACAACGTGTAGTGGTATAAAGATCAATGCTCGGTCTAGACTCGCTTCTATTAGGTCTCAGTACAGCGAAATTAAGTACATAATATGAAATATATATATATAGTATTGAATATGAAATATATAAAGTATTAAGTCAGTGGTGGCCTAGTGGTTAAAGGGCCCGCCTCTTGTGCATGCAGGTTCTATCTTGGAAAGTTCCAATGTGATTTTTCCGAGTCATGTGTACTTTCTTAGAGTATTTAGACATCACTATCAGACGGTGAAAGAAAACATCGTAAGGAAACCTAGACTTATAATTTCACATTTATAAGTTTCAAATCACCAACCCGTCTTCAACAAGCGTGGTGATAATGCTCACACCTTCTCGATGTGAGAAAGAGGCCTTTGCTCAGTATTGGGCTCTGATAGGCTGATGAAGACAAAGTATTGAAATGAATAAAACACTATATAAGTAAGTGTCACTGATTCTGTGCAAGAGCTGAAAATGTGTACTTTTAAATTTGTTTTAGGTCACTTTATTATTATATTGTTTATTGAAATGACTAACGGTTTTTTAAATCAATCATGAATTTAAATGCAATCAAATATAATTAAAAATTGGAGCTTCACTATCAGTTTTAGATAAATATATTTGGTGTATATTGACCTTATTTAATTGTACATATTTTTACTCAAATTTAACAATAGTAGATTAACAAAGGAAAAAATATATATGAATATACTCGATGTGTAAGAATTAGGTATAAGCCTGCATCTAATCATGTAATCTGAAAAAAATCTCTTAAATATTCTTAATATTTTATACTGCTAAAGTAAATATTATTATTTATATTACATATATATTTTATTAGGGCTTATTACGAAAAACATTTTCCTAATAATGATTAGATACTGGTGTGTTATAATAATTCTGACAATTAATTTTAACCTTAAATATTACAAGTATGAACAGATTCAATGTAAAAATTATAGAATGAACATCATTAATTCCTGCTCTAGATATTCGTATATATAATTTAATTGTTTCGTGAGTTTAATTATTTTAAATGAAAAAATATATTGAATAGTACTTCAAATTTTATAGACGTTTAACAATCAATATTGAACACAAAAGGAAATATTAATATCAATTGAACCGAGTCTTATTTTTTTAAGATAATGCTCGAGCCATCTGATTTTATTTGACGTTGCAAACCAAATGGGTGTTAAAACTTATTTGCCAACTTTGAAAGTTTCACATTTTTTAGAATACTTTTAAAGTACTTTGTAATTTTAACACAATATACATTTTATGATTTAGAGTAGTCGGAAACTACTTTGCTCATGTTGATTTGAAAGACGAGTGCTTTGAAAGTACTTGAGATTGTAAATAAATATTTTATATTATATTTTAAGAGAAACATGACCTTCAGTTGACCGATGGAATGAAACTTCTTAGCCTTACTGTATTTTTTTTTCTTATACATATATATCCTTTGCATGAAACATCTCAATACTATTGATTCATAATATTTTTTAAGTAAAGCCTTTATTAATACAAAGTTATAATTTCCATCACTGCTTTTATAGAAATCCTTTAAGAGAACTTAACATTAAATGTACAAAATAAACAGATACACCTTTTTTATTATATCAATAAAACATAATCTGTTCGTTTCATACTTTTTCACATTATTAATTATTTAATTTAAGATATTCACATTAATAATTATTTAATTTAAGTTTTAGATAGAACTAAGAAAGCGTATTTTTCAAAAATCAGGAATAGCAAAAAATGAGGCTAAATAGGTCATTCCGTAAAGGAAAATAACAAAATATTTTTTTTATTCAAATCAAAATATTTACTCTCATATTTGCCTCCAATTTACTGAATATTTTAAACCCGCATGGTTGTTAATACATATACCTAATAAAAACCTATTGTATTGTTTGAAATTCGTATATAATCAGGTTATTAAGTAACGAGCAGAATGTACCCTTATATGTATATATTTAATTTCTAAGTTGTCAAATTATTGTGCCGTAGTAAATAATTATCCTTGATTGTGCACCTTGAAAAACCTCTCCATACTAACGTCAATTGTACTTACACTACTCCATACAATCTTTGATATTGTTTTAATAAAATTATTGTATAATAAATAACAAATACTACATATATATTCACATTTATTAATATTTTTGATAAGATATTGTGGTAATTAAAACAACCTTATGTATCCGGCATAATTTATCTGTTCGTTAAATTTTTTATCGGTAATTCCGCATAATTAATTCCTGTTCCAGATTATTCTAATTGAAATTCGGTAATCGTTTTATTGTAAAAATATAACTAAGGCAATTCAGAGATTGTTATTGACTTTTTGAGATAATTTAATATAGCTTTAAACTTAGAAAATATTATAAAATATATAACGTGACTACCCTTTTTTACTTATTATATCAAATATATACAGATTTTTTAAATTGAGTGTAACAAAACATAATACGGTGAATATTAAAATAATGATAATAAAACTAAATAAAGGTCAATCACATTAATTACTACAATGATTTTAATTGTTAAATACTATCAATTAATTCGTAATTCAATTAAACTAAATTGATTGTTCATAAATAAGAGTTAGAATGACGAACAAACACATCTCTATAGGAAGTTCGCCAGACAAAGAATCTGAAAATTCAGTGTAAATCAGATAAAATTGTTGTATGACATATAATGCAAGTTGTAGTAAACGAGCGTATAAAACGCTGCGTTTTATAATATGATAAAAAACGACGCGATTTTATAAATTTTGATCATTTTGATTGATATGAATAAAATGATTATGCCATACTCAACGTCTTGTTCTGTGGAAATATGAAATTTAACTTTATTACAGACATGACAGAAAACAAAATTGTATAACCTAAATTTGAGAATATGGTACTAGTAAAAAAGTACAAGGAAGAAAATAAGTAAATATTATAATGTGCTCGTTTGTTTCATTGTACGAGTGTTGCATATAAAATATGTCATACACACAATACAAAGGAATGTCGTATACTTAGGATTCATTGACTAACTATTAATATCTCAGTCGCCAAATGACCACAACCTATAAACGTGTTAATGTAATGTAATAATAAGTATTCTAAATATATATGTACATACCAAGAGCTCGTTATACAAAATTAAAACGGTTAATAGGAGAGATCTTTTTATACATATTTTTTATTGTGTCCCTACCCCCGGCACGCGTTTGTCATTAGAAACAGATGCGGGGCTTCTGTGTGTGAATTGTAATTGATGGGGGAGGCATTGACATGTTGTTCGATTTTGACAGTTCCGTGCGACGACTAATGAGAACTGATGAAAACCTTAAATAGGTAACACAAGTCGACTTCATACGAATACATATTTGAATATCCATCTATATAAATATTAAGTTTCAGTAGCACAAAAAAGTTAATAAAGTTTGAGCAAAAATCCTAATTATCGATAGTATTATAATGAGCAATTTATATAAGCAAATAATTAAAGGACCAACCCTACAATATTTTCCAAATAAGTTCAGCGAATCATCTATACTGTATAAGATATATTATTGTATTTTTGGTAATTATACTCACTGA